TACAATTTAATGGCGCAAAGTCTGCTTGAGCGCCCTCTGGAAACCTCACGATAAATTTTTGCATTAGTGAGGCAAGAAAAAGAAGAAGTAGCTCCGGTTTAGCAACGGACTCCCCCAAAACATTCTCGGGGTCCGGTAGAAAATGGAAGACAATGGTTCAACTTTGGTCCCAGTCCTCCATCGTTCGTCAAGTATCCATCTTGCTTGAATTTGTCGACATTTTCCCAATTTTTCTGATCGTGATGCAGTGTCCAATAATTTATGATGACCAAAGTACCTTTAGGGACGTCATATTCTGGAAATAGACGTTATGCAAAAACACTTTAAATAAGACAAAGTTAAAGTGGCATGAAGTCATGATCCAACATAATGAAAATATTTCTTGTTTAACCCTTAAAACTCACGAATTCAACCCGTTTGTTTACTTGTGTCCAGTTTTTTTTTCGAATTTGACTATCAGATTATCAGATAATGTCACAAAACGTATAAGAATATAAAATTAAAAAAAAACAATTGTTTCTAAATAATGGCAGGATATAGTATTTTGTGACTATATCAGTCTATTGGTAATCAAATCTTTATTTTATTTTTAGATCATGTGACTTCATTAAGCAATACCAAAAATATAGCATATGAACTAGTGTCCCACTGGTTCCCTCTAGTCTCTGAGGTAGTTTTAAATTTATTCAACGGGCTAGAAATGGTTGGTTAAATATCTTGCGATCAATCAAACTGATGCAGATTGTTATCTGCCTATATCAATCGAAGCGTGAAATCTTCGCCACTATTTCCCGATGACGTAGTGCATGGCTAAATAGGCTAATTATTACTTCCGCTGGAAATTAACGCAAGTTGTTCATCACCCTGGGGTCCAGCTTCAAATGTCAATTACTGCGTGACGGGGATATCTAGACTACCCACCTAATCCGATCCCCACAAGAAATAGTTTTCCTAAATTTTAGCTAAATTCAAACAGATACCGAGCTGGCACTTACTCCCTTTGAAAGTGGGGCCCGCCGAGTAATTCATTTCAAAATATGTTAATAAAACATGCCATATAAACTGAACATTTTAACCTAGAGTGGTCCAACATATTTAACACCTTGAATCATTTGGACCCCCAATATATATATATATATATATATATATATATATATATATATATATATATATATATATATATATATATATATATATATATATATATATATATATATATATCGTGTGCTATACAAGATATATATTAAAGTAATCATAATATAATTACAGAATCGACTTGTCTGAGCATGAGCCGCCTGAAAATATAAAAGCATTGACATGTAGGGTAGAGGGGGGCAAAACGCCCCATCTAACAACTTTTGGAAATTTATGGCATGATTTACATGATTGTGTTCGCAAATGGACAATTTATTTAGCGAATGCGTTGCGTCTAAGATAATGGAATGATGTTTAACTTTAATGAAGAAACTATTTACGAGAAAATTGAAAAATTGTAAAAATTTATAAAGGGGCATTTTGCCCCTATGCTGGGGCATCACGCCCCCTCCGGGGCATTTTGCCCCACCATGCATTCAATATCTGTAAAGGTCTGTAAAACTACAGTAATACAATTGAACTGTAAAATCAAGTATTATTCCTATATGGACCTTTTATGTATGGCAAAGATGCTAAAGCTTTATACTGTTACATCATTCAAATTAGCACGACAATGCGGATAAGGAAGCAGCTACAACAATGCTCAAGTCTAAATAGTCCGTAATTTCCATCGTTATTGAAGAAAAATAAAACAAAACGTGAATGTTCCTGGTAACTTCTTTATTATTCATACTTAGCACAGCAAAATTGCATATTGAGGATGGTGCCACAGGATTCATGGCAACACCTGGTACATTCTTTGTACTGCGACCAGGAATCTTCTATTAAAGGATCATCACTTCCTCCATATTCAAAATCGCAGTTTCCACAAATGTTGTCTGTATTATGTGTTGTGTCTGCTGACAGAGCAAGATCGTGCTTAGCAACTGACTTTGTTCGCAAAGCCTTTTCTCCCTTTTCATGGTCTTGTATTCAAGCTGTCTTCATAATCTTATATGGTTTACTACCTATTTTTTGGACCCCTCTACGTGTCTGCTTCTTTCTCTTTTGCATTTCCTTCTGCTTTGAAACTTTGGTTTCATTCAATTTGCTCCCACTTGCCTGTACAGTTCTTTGACATTTACATCGTCTTTCTTTGTTTTTTGATAAGCATCTTTTTATACGGTGATGATGGCTGTTCATGGCTGATTCTGCCTTTCGCTTTATTGTGCGCTGACCGGATATTCTTGGCTTTGGCGAAAATTTAAGCAATATGTTCACAAATGCTGAATCATCTGCATTTCTGCATTCGTTTTGAGATACCTACAAGGTAGCACTTTCGGTTCATCCAGCAAGAATAGCTTCGTCAAGCATTTTTCGATTGCCAGTCTCCTCGACGGAGATGGTACAGTGATGTGTTTGTTGATTATCAGGTGACTGAGTATAAATTGTTTCATCTATCTCTGGATTACTGGACCCATCCACAGTGGCCTTAGAACTAACAGCTAGCAGAAATTCAACCGTTTTGCTTGGTTCATTTAATGTTTCTGCGTTTCCGGAAGTGCTCATAACATTACTAAGCGATTGATCATTAACTGACCTATTTCCCTCATTTGATGTTTCCGTATCGCCTGCCCCACCTGCAATAACTATAGGAGTACCAACTGGTTGTTTGTCAGATGTCTTGACTTCTTGAACAGATAGTTTTGCATCACCCGACCCCTCAAACATGTTTGTGCAGCCGGTAAACGACATGTAATCAGCTGTCTTATTTGACTCAATCAGTTGTGATGTCACAGGTAGTGCTTGTTGATATGCATTAGGCCCATCTGAAACTGGCTGAGGCTCATCAATTACCATAGAAGGAGTAAAGTCATCATCTGTAAACTTATTTGGATTAAAAGGCCAAAGTCCGCAGGCTTCAAAACCAGTGATAGCTTTCTGTAAACTCGCAGATCTGTTATATGCTGCAGAAAAAAAATTCCGCAACTTCAAATGCGCTTATTCGTCTTCCTGGATTGCTTGTCATCCAGTTTCCAGATTCCAAGTTGAAAGCACTTTTTGGTGCTTTGAAAAATGTGACATCAACAGGATGGAGCCAATGTGTGCAATGGGGAGGAAAGGTTATCAACACAATCCCTTTTACGCGTGCATAAAGAACAGTTTCCAATGTTTTTAGGCTATGGTGCCCATCAAGAAGAAGAATGTCTGGAGAGTCCTTCGTACATTTCACAAAAGAAGTGAAATGTTCCAGCCATTGCAAAAAAAAAAAATGACCGCCTGTCCATTCACTTGGGCTACACAAGCCCAGTGCTCCGGCTGGTGCGCATTTATCAGTGATGAAACCATTCGTTTGCGTGGGTAGATAAATGCTGGTGGTGCAAATGTACCAGCCGCATTCATGGCACATATTACAGTAATAGTTTGACCACGTTCACCGCTTGTAACTTTACCAACCGATCTAACACCTTTGGATGCAATGATGTTTACTGGCTTGTGGACAGAACTAATGCCTGTTTCATCCGTGTTCCATATTCTGAGACCATCAGCAAGTGTTTCATCAAGAGATTCCTTATAAACTTGGTAAAAATTAACCACCTTTGGCTTGTTGAAGCCCACGGCTCTGCTGATACTGGTTGCCTCTGGAGCTCTAATAGCTATATTTGGATGCCTTTTCATAAATCCTTTCAACCAATCAAAACCTGCTACATTGCCTTGAAATGGGTGGTTTTTAATATTAAGATGAACTGCTAAGGCGTATGCCAAACGCAGTACGTCAAAAGTGTTAAGTCCAAATAATGTCTTTTCCATGGACTGTATGTGCTCGACTAGAAATAACTCATATTTAGGCTTGAAAACAGTAGTCTTACTTCCCAGTTTTAACACCCCAGGTTGTGAAACCTTCAAATTTCTATTTCTGCGCAAAGTTTTAGCTGGAATTCCATAATTCCTGGCAGCAGCTTTCAATGGAGTTCCACAACGAATTGCTTCGAGTGCCGCATTTAGAGCTGGTGTCCCATGATTTCCTCGATCTGTTTTGCCCCTATCGTACAGCATTGACAATTTAACATTAGGCGGTAATAACTGCTGAGAATCACGAAATATTATACATGATGCAACATCCATGCCATGATGTTTAAAATCATATGCACCCTGTTTTCTTTAGGTAGCTCCTGTTCAAAATACTGCAAACAAATGGATCGACCACTTTTATAAGAAGATGCGAAAAAAAGCAATATTCTTGCATAAAAACCATGCGTGCCGCTGCATCCAACAATGGCCGCCCTTTACAAGGCCTGTGTAACCTAGGTAAGCTTGCTGTATAAAGACCGGTCCATTTTCCAGCGTAGGGACGTCAGGACAGCTTGGAGGCGTTTTACCACATGGAGGCGTTTTGCTCCCCCCCCCCTCTACCCTACGCTAAATTTGGCCAGTGGGCCTGTAGTTGAACAACTCTTTTCTTTAACCTACGTGAAATGCAGTTCTATCCCGCAAAAGTATTTAGTATTTCAGATCAGCCAAACATGGTTTTGCACGCTTTTCGGTGACAGAAAAATGATAGGGATAAAATTTTCTGAGGATGATTACTATGAAAATGTAAGAGACTATAAACTTACGGCGCTAACTGGATAACACATTTGTATATTTGGACAATTTCGTAATGACCTTAAAATTCGTGAAACATATAAGTCATATAAAATAAGATAATAGAAAGTTATTTTTGTATTGAATCATATTGCTCGTGACATGACCGCCAATGAAAACATTATCATAATAAAGTATGTAGTCAGGTTTTGCCTGTTAATATCAAGTAATGTTGTGTTTTAGCGTTCTATTTCCAAAAATGGGGGAGCACGGAAATGTTTCAGAAATAAAGTTGTATTTTGACAAAATATACAAAGCAAAAACTACTTTTCTTATCGACCGCTCCGGTGGCCTAATGGTTAGAGCGTCCGTCTCGAATGCGGAAAGTCGCAGGTTCGAACACCTGCCGAGTCACACCAATACTTCCGAAAAAAAGAATTAATAGCTACCTCGCTTGGCGCTCATCATGTTAGTGTTACGACTGGATGGCATGATGTTAGGATAATGTGACTGGTTGGGACATCATGCACATATCTGCGCCATGATGCCCCGGGCTAGACATCAATATAAATTGTCACACTGCAGACATCGTAGCTATATGACTGAAAAATTGTTCAAGTTACGTTATAAATCTAAATCACACACACACACACACACACCCCTTCTCATCATAGTGTGGCCCCGAGTGGCCGAGTGGTCTAAAGCGCTGTCCGTTACGGATCACTGCCATCTCACCTCTGTCTGCGTGGGTTCGAGTCTAGGATTCGGCGAAGGTAGATATGTGAGAAAGCTGGCCAGTAGCTTCTCGTGGGTCGGTGGTTCTTTCCGGTGATTTCCCGGTTTCTTCCTCCACCATTAATACTGGCCGCCATAAATAGCCTATCGTGTGCTGAAGAATGGCGTTAAGCACAACAACAACAACAACAACAACAACATCACAGTGTTTACAGATTGTGAAAGAATTCTGTCGTATGTCGCAGACTAAACTAGTTATACCAGAAATAAAGAGTCTAGTAAATAGATCCCTGAATAGTTCCAGAAAAAAAGAACAATCACCATACAATCAAAGTAAAAGGCCAAATGGGATTACCCTATCTTAACAGTATATATTGGGTGTGTCTACGAACTTATTGTTTCAGAGAAAATGTCGAATTATGTAAAACTGTTATTAAGTTTCCAATTTTTCGGACTGGGACATTTTGAAAAGCTGGCATTAGCCGTCCTGAACAGGCTACAAACAGAAGTTACAGGCAAAAACGTGCGTAATCGTTTTCAGAAATTAAGTATTTACGTGTCTCACACGGCTTGATGTAGGACACCTATCTGTGCTACTGTAGACAACCGCATGGCCTTATAGAGAAAAGCTTTTAGTAACTGTGACGTCCTAAAACTTGGCATACATATAGTTAGATCATCTTGTTTACTTAACTCAAGAAAAAGAAGGCCACCTCTTCTATTCTTATTTAGTGTTGGCTCGTATTAAATGCTGTCTCATAATAAGGCAAGAAATAAACTATTTGATCATTTTCGTCGTACATGCCTGCAATGATACCTAGGATGGATAATTGTTTTTCTAGGTAAGCGACTGAACTAGTATGTATCTCGTCATAGACCGCTTGCGGCAAGAGACACCAAAAGCACGGGATGCAAGGGTATTTTACCCTTACTAAGACTATTTCTTTTGGAGATTTAAGATAAGATTCTTATCTAATTGACACATTGGTCTTTTGGATCTTGTAAATGAGTGCACGTTTTTGTTATACAGCCATATGGGTAAGTGTTACATTTTTACTTTTTATATGTGAAACATATTCCGTTTTAATGTCGTAGCGTGAAATGTTGTCTTTACTACTACGCGAATTTGAAACGTTGTGAACTTTTCAGTTGTTGCAAGATGCTATTAATAGTTTAGTTTTGTGACACATATCTATCGGTTGTAATTGCGCAATTGTTGTTATGACCAGTTTGGTTTTATTTTAGCTGTGCGTGTGGGGGGTATATCAGGCTATCGGTCTGGCCGTCTGTATGTCTGTGTAGTATGGAAGCAGGTATGACCATCAAGGCCATTTAACGACGGAACTGCCGATTTGTAAACTTGTGCGCACGATGTATCTATGAAGGGTGTGTGTGACCAATACAAGTCTAAACAAACCCAATAATTCAGGAGAACTGTGTGGTTTAAGAACGGACACGTGAACCAGGTCAAAATGTTAAATTTGCATGATTTTACAAGTATTTATGAGTTATATGTGGCTATGAATCGTATGGTCTGTACAAATGAGTGAGTCACTCTACATGTGTTTGGTAGATTGTGATGTTGCTTCAATTGATCATATTTTTATCAATTGATAATGTTGTTTCAGTTGAGTACAATTAAGTTGTTTTCATTACATGAGATTATACGAATCTTACTTTCATTACACGAGATTATATGAATCTTAATTTCTTTTCACATTCATGTTTTCCGTTTTGTGAATGTTTGTGAAAAGTAATTGAACGAGTCGTATGTTTAAAGTGTGAAAGAATCGCACTGTATGTTGTAGAGGATATATTTATTTTTATTGATTCATTTTGTAAACTTTCAGCTTTCATCGCATTGCGTTGTGATGTCATTTGATCAGAGAGCATCTATTTTAGTTTAATCCTGTTACAAATACTAAGAAGAAAAGAATGTACGATCTATAGATCACCTCTTTGAAAGAGTCAGCTGGATAAAACCTACTAATACATTATAGAGAGCTCGATGTTAATAATTAATATTTAATATGTATTAATTACGTCACTTTTGGTATTCACCAGTCAAACCTTGGAACTGATAGAACAGGAAAGCTTATATGTCTGCTGCATAGAAAACTAACATGGAATAATTAAACAGCGAATTGCAACTAAATATGGCAAAATGATCCCTTGACCAAGAGACTAATTTCTTATAATTTTGCGTTAGAACTACAGAATTTTTTTATTATTATCATTTTGTAATTCGTATACCGAGCATTAACTGAGACAATTTTCAACACATATATTACCTTCTTAGTGATTAAAATCTCAAATGTTTAATCATCTTCCAAAATTATATTTTAGTTACTGAAATTTGATAGAATAAAATGCACGAAAGAACATTTGTCATATATATATATATATATATATATATATATATATATATATATATATATATATATATATATATATATATATATATATATATATATATATATTAGTCTTTTTTGGCGTGAATTATTATATTTGTTGGAATTTATTAGCTATAACCGTGTTTTGTCGATTCTCGACGACACCTGTTAGAACTTCATGGTTGATTTATTTAATTTTGCAACACCGTTAGTTGTAAAATATATTTTTAATTTTTACTTTCAATTCTAGGAACATAATTTTTTTTTTACTTTTACATAAACTTGCTGTTTTTGCTATTTTATATTTGTTAAGAAACAAATTGCCTGATAAGAACCAGCTTAAATGATTTAAATTTTAAATTTTATTATCAAAATTGTGAGATTACGCTGGGAATCGTACAGGACCAGCTTTAGGAAAAAACAGCGGTGAAAGTCGAATTCTAATTAAGATTGATTGACATTATTGACGTGCATATTTTGTTGGTCTAGCTCTTTTCCTTTTCAATGAACAGGAAATGTAAAATTGCAATTACATAAAACATGGTTGATTTGTTATTTAATTTTGCAACACCGTTAGTTGTAAAATATATTTTTAATTTTTACTTTCAATTCTAGGAACATATTTTTTTTTTACTTTTACATAAACTTGCTGTTTTTGCTATTTTATATTTGTTAAAAAAACAAATTGCTTGATAAGAACCAGCTTAAATGATTTAAATTTTAAATTTTATTATCAAAATTGTGAGATTACGCTGGGAATCGTACAGGACCAGCTTTAGGAAAAAACAGCGGTGAAAGTCGAATTCTAATTAAGATTGACATTATTGACGTGCATATTTTGTTGGTCTAGCTCTTTTCCTTTTCAATGAACAGGAAATGTAAAATTGCAATTACATAAAACATACACACAATTCCATCAACTTCCTTTTGTATCTTTTCTTGCAGGTCAGGACAGACCGCTAAGTAAAGAAAGACCCAGCGAAGTGTTGCTCTTGTAGTGGCAACAGCCGCTGTAATGACAATTAAATGTGGTGAAAGGATTTGGATTTAAAATGATAATCCTACGCACATAGTACAACGTGTTAATTTTATCAACATCAACGTTATTGTTAAACAGTCGGAGCAAAACATCCATTGAATCTGATGATGTAATTTGCACAATATTTATCGCAAACAACTATTACATTCAGCTATAATGACAAACCTGAAACTTTCCGTGTTGTGTTTAGAAACATACGCGACAAGAAAATCATAATAGCATCCCATCAAAACTGAGATTTCCGTCATAATGGAGATTTGATAATCACCGAAAAGTTAATGTTCTGGAGCATTTTTGAATTCTTGGTCCTGATAATTTTAGTAACCTATCAAACAAAGCGTTGTATTCGTGTTAGGAACCGTTGTCATTAGTAGTTGCATGTTCTGAAAATTTTTCTTTTTCATAAATGTGAAGACTACATTGATTGGTAAAGCCGAAAAGGACAACAAAATATGACCATCGCACCGGTGCCTGTCGGATGATTTTATTATAAATAATTAAACACATTCTATAACACCTATATTGCCATTTTCTTTTATAGATCTATGCAATTTTCAACCAAAATTATGAATAAAGTCCACGTGAACCTAAACATTTTGTCTACCAGAACGACGGCAGTGACCTATAATTATGGATATGTATCTTTAGTGCCCCATAATACTAAGGTGTTGACTAAAATGGCACTAAAGATGGAGACAGTAAGAGTAGAATGAAGTGGACAGCTGATAATGATCGACTGCGGACCCTAGCATGTCTCGGGGTTGAATGCATCAAAGTTCCTAAAGTTCAGACTACTTTATCAAAGGTTACATGATCTTGTTTAAAAAAAAGTGGTTGGCACGGCCAAATTTACCATTATGCTTAGGTGTGCTTAAGCACAGGGACCCTAGTGGCCAGGGGTGGGGACCTATCTTCTTGGCAGAAAAAAATTACGATGAATTTTTCAAAAGTCTGTGACTATTTTAACTACTCCTAAATTTCCTGAGTATATATGCCTGACTACCTATGTAGGCCTAAAGGGCCTACCTCCTTTAGGGCCCCAGTAAGGGGCCACATAACTTAACTAGCACAGGGCCTTATTTATCCTAAATCCGGCACTGGTGGTTTGTTCTTAACCAGACACGAGTCCTGAGGACACACGTGTCGAGCAAATTTTGTTAAGCTATCAAAAACGTAGGTTTTGAAGTGAATTTTCAAATCAAACTGGGATAAGTTTGTGAAATCGAACTTGACTTTGTGTTTTTGGA